TTCTGCCCTGTGCCGTAGGGTCACCGAGAGTCAGCATGGATGGCAGCGACTGAGAGAACTTGGTTGCGTTTCTGTGGAGTCCTGTCTTCATTGAGGTGATGTGGTTTAAAGTCGGCCTCTCTTCTTGTGGAGTTGTCCGTCTTTCTGTATCAGTTCTGCTCGATTGAGTTCATGGATTTTGGAACTCTTTCGCTGGGTTCAAAGAGATCTACTAGGGCTGTGTTCTCTGGTTATTGTGTTGCTTTTTAAATTTTTTGGTCAGAGATTAATAAAATCTCCCCTGCCTTTTTTGGCTCGCCATCCCTTTGGGACGTTTCCCCCCACCATTCTTTCATTGTTAGATTATTTACCTGTGTCTGGGGTGTGTCTCTTGTAGACGGCCTCTTGAGGGGCCCTGAGGTCACGGTTTCTTACCCATTCTGCCCTTTCTTGTTTCTTGACTGGCGCATGGAGCCCATTTACATTCAGTGTAATTACTCATAGGTGTGGATTGACGTGCCACTTTGTTGTGTGCTTACAAAGAACCTATCTTTCACTAGTGCTCACGACTTATTTGTTCCACATACATTTCCCGACGGCCTGCTTTGGTTCTTTATCTTCATAGCTTGTTGGTTTGTTTGTCCAGATACAGTTTTTCTGTTGAGAAGGTTTACTCATTTTCTTTTTTGGGACTTTGACATTTTTTTGTATCTTCCTAAGTTTAAAACCAACTTTCTATCTTGACAGCACCTTCCTGCTGCCTCCTCCCCAGCCTGCAGGTGGGCAGGTGCACCGGGAAGAGACTCCCTCCCTCTCTTGCTCACAGCCTCGTCCTTGGCCTTCAGGACTGCCCACAGCGCCTCCCCAAATATTTACCAAAGCAGTAAGCGAGCACTGCCAGCTGGGCCGCAGCCCGTCTCCATACTCTGCCATCACCCGTCTCCATACTCTGCCATCACCCGTCTCCGTTCTCTGCCATCACCCGTCTCCATACTCTGCCATCACCCGTCTCCATACTCTGCCATC